TAATAGAGCACCTGAAACGAAATCTGCAAGAGTGAAACTGACACTGCAAGAACGGATGACTTGAACTAACCTTATCTTGACTGCTGAGGAGCTGTTTCATTCTGTTGTTGTTTTTCTTCATACTATTTGTTGAATCCTTAATCATATGTGTTAAAGTCTATTGAGGATGGAGCTCAGTGAAAAAAATAGTGGGAATAAGAGAGAGGAGGAAGTTTGTAACTGTGAAGTTGTATAGTTCTGCATACATTCCTATGGACTTACTTCTAAGGGCACAGTTTAAAAACTTGTCATGGGACCCCAAATCCCATTAAGCTGGGTGGTAAAAATGCCATCTTAAGTGTTCAAGTGATCATATAAATAGGATCAAGTGTTAGGTAATAATAATAGATAGAGTGTTCTAACATGGGAAGCAGTCCACACAGCCAACTCATAGAACGACAATGGCTTTAAGTAACACTCTGATCTCAGAATCGGCCCTTAAGGTTTCCTGATCTGGCTGAAAAGCCCGTGAAAGCATTTCAGGCACGGAGAGCCAAGACTCTGTGGCAAAAAATGTTCTACATGAAGGATCTCTGTGGGTGAGACTTCTGCGGAAAAGAAGTGGCCATCAGAGAAGGATGTACTTTTCTCTAAAGGGATGAGAGAACTTCTACTTTGCTTATGGCCTTGTCCAAATACTGACAAGAGTCTGTGGACTTGAAAGGCTTCCATAACCTAGGCAGCTCATGTCAGAACCTTGAGTGTTCACTGATGTCATAGATAAGAGTGTTAATTGTTAAATTAACAATAGGAGTCACTGTGCACTAACTCCCCATGCAGGACCTCTGTCCTCAATGGGTTGTATTATGAGAGTTAACTGTAATACTAGTTCTCAAACAGTTGTGTGTGTGTGTGCAAATTGTTGAAATCTTTACTTAGTAGAGAGTTGGTCTTCTCTGTACAAAGTTAGTTGAAAATGAACTTTAATGGAGAATGGGACTGGGAAGGGGAGAGGGAAGAGGAGGAAGGGTGGGAGTGTGGGTGGGAGGGCGTGTATAGTGGGAAGAATAACTATATTCCTAAAGTTGTACTTATGAAATTTGTATTCCTTACAAAAATAAATTAAAAAATGCACAATAACCACTGGAACACTGACATCTTCCCCCACCCAAGGAAAATGCCCAACCCTCTTCTAGTGCTAGTTAAAATCAACCAGAGGGTCCTTGCAGGCTGATGTGTGCGTAAGCAGCAAAGTGACCCTCAATCACCTTTCTGATGTGGGCAGACAAAACCCCCTCATTATAATGTTAAATCTCCACCCTCAACTGCACAAGCAATGCACATAACCTACACGGTAACATGGGAGCATGTGCACCCACCCCTTTAGGGTATTCACAACCATTCCCGGAGCTTCTGTGGAACCTAAAATGCCTAACTTCCTTAAAGACAAGCTCTAGAAGACTTGCAGTTCCTGGTTGTGTGGGCAGCCTGGTTTCTGGTCGTGAGGCCATCTTGTTCCCTGTCTTGGCCAACTCAAACCATGTTTTCACTGGCACACAAGCTAGATAAGAAACCCTCAGATTTTTCTGTCCGATTACAAATTTTGCCAACTGCAAAATTAGCTTCTTCCCTTTGGAGAGCTAATGATGGTGCCAGACCTCTGAGGACGGGCATGGGGGAGAGCGCCTTGTTGCCTGGGAGAATCTGGTCGGGTGGTGTCTATTCCCAGACGCAACATTCTTGGTTTCTGTCTCCCTGGAGTTCTCAGTTGCAGAAACATCTCTGCTGTGTTAGATGAGTGCTGTCTGAGGGCTGGGCTCTTCAGTCCCAGGGTAGACAGGCAGCTCATGTTTGACCTAAGTTTGACCTAATCCCAAGGTCAAACCCCCAAGTTTGACCTAATCCTGACAGACTTTCGATCTTCCCAGGGTATATTTATTGAGATAGTGTGGTGCAGTAGGTTAAGTCATCCCTTGCAACACCACTATCCCATAGCAGAGTGCCTATTTGAATCCTGGCTGCTCCACTTCCAACCCTGCTTCCTGCTAATGTGCTTCAGAGGGAGAGACAATGGCCTGGATGTCACCCAGATGGGAGACTGGGATGGATGGAGTTCTTGGCTCCTGCCTTCAGCCTGGCCCAGACCCAGCTATTGTGGGAATTTGGGAAGTGATTTGGTGGATGGATAATCTGTCTCTTTGCCTTTCAAACAAATAAAAGGGATAACTTTTAAACATTAGAGGACTGAATAGTTCAAGTCCCCTTGTCCTGAGGTGCTCATTAAAATTGATTGTGTGGGACTACGAGTCATCAGTCAGCTTTTCCACAATGCAGCCCCTTAGGTATAGCTGAAAGACCTGGAGGCACGTTGGAACCAATGTGAAAAAGAAAAAACCTTTTTTAAAATTATACGATGTCATGGCCCTAATATGCTTTGGGGTCAAATGACAAGTGGCCTTGTCTTATAAAACAAGTCACAGTAGACTTTGTAAAAGGGAGCCAATGAGGGCAAGTCCCTTTGGGGAGCTTTTATAGTTTTGTTTCGCAGCAGGAATTTGTAAAGACAGAGTAAGACGTCAGGGCACAAAGGGATGAACGGAAACCCTCAGAAACCCCAGCAGGCGAAGGCCTCTTGAATCAAACGGCACAGCCTCCACCCTCCCCACCTTCGGGGGCAGCAGCAGGGTCTGTGCCCATAACCTCCCTTATCACATAAGGCTGAGGTAGTTTCCCAACCTCTGCCTGAACCCAAGGAAGGCTACATCCTCAGACTACCCCTCTCCCCCCACCCCGGGCCCCACCTCTATCTCAGGTACAATTTTCCCACCTCACACCCATAGCAAGTAAAATTTGGCCAAAGGGAACCCGTATTCTCACCAGGATCAAGGCCATGTCCTCTTGAACAGGTATCTATAGGAATTAGGGATGACAGGTACCTGAAAGGCCCTTACTAAGCCTTTTTTGATCTTTGATCAATTGGAAAACAACCTTCCTTCTTCCTGGGATGACCCAAACACATGAATGACCTGTTCACCTGTGTCCACAACACATCACCCTAGATGGTGAACTGTCAGTCTCTCATGGACAGTCTGCTTACTCCTGATCCTTGAAGATACCAGACTGAGAGAACACCAAGAAAACGTGTAGGGCCCAGTAAAATGGGACCTGACCCTTGAGGTCCCAAAGAAGAGCCAAACTAGAACCCAAATGAAATTCAAGAGCTAAACTGGTGTAGGCACTATAACCACGGCCTTCCGCGAGGACTCTGAGAGGGAGCCCCCAAACAAAAGCACTTTAACAAACACATGAGGGGCTCCAACAACCCAACCGACCCCTTGGCCTTGCTGCAATGTATGTGCCAGGCTTTTAGACAGACACTTATCCACATCCTGCACCCTCTCAAAACACCCAGACTCAAAATTGGGCAACGCCCTCCTGACAGATGAGACCATGACAAAAACTGGAAGGAGGGTTTGAAGACTGCTCCTGACACCCTAGCCCGGGGCACTGCCGCACTACCTCACGAACTCCCCTTCCAACTGTGGCTCACTGCTGGGAGGGTAAGGTCGGGCAGTCACCCGTGAAACCACAAGCCTGGACACTCTGCATCGGCCTATGGTTTCTGTCACACACTTTGCCTTCAACGCATGACAGCCCGGAGGTGCCAGAAGTCCATTCCAGATTGCTGGACCTCAAAGATGCCCACCTGGTAGCTCAGACCTTGAGGTTTTCACAGATGGGAGCAGTTGCATGAGAAGGAGTCTGAAAGCTGGTTATGTGGGGTCACCCTTCTGTCTGTTCTCACTTCTCTGGAGGCAGAAGTGGCACAGCTGGGACACCTCTGCCCCAAAGGCTGAACACGGAGTCCTGCTGGGGGCCCTCCAACTGGCCTCTGGACAAAATGCGTGTGCTTCCAGTTCTACACACCCACGGAGCTCTCTGGAAGGAAAGGGGATGACTCATGGCAGAGAACAAGGAACTAAAACGTGGGCCTCCAACACTAATGGCACTGAAGGCAGCACAGGGCCTCACTAAAGTGGTAGTTACGCATTGTCTGCAACACAGAAAACCAGTTTCCTATGGCAGAAGAGATCGACAGCAGATCAAGTGGCTAAGAACGCTACCCCACACCCCGACAGCGCTGCCCTAGCTACATATGGCGCTCAGCCTGCTCTTAGCTTATCTAATGAAAGATACCCTGTTGATACTGACTCGAGCATCCCCCCAAAATCAAGGGGTTTTCCAACAATGATTTCTATTATAATCCTGAAGGAAAAGTTTATATATATATATATATGTATATATGTATATATATATGTGTGTGTGTGTGTATACTGAAGTTATCAGAACTGCACATGACTGTACTCACTATGGAAAGAAGCCCTACTGTAATGGCTCTCAAAAAATTTTGCTGGTTACAGGTTGGCAGCTGCTGTACAGGAAGTTACCTGAAAGTGTAGCTTACCTGCACAAACAGTCCCAAAGCAGTGGAAGAGCCCGAAGTCCCAGGCACACAGCGCCAGGACAACAACCTAGAGAGGACTGGCACACTGATTTCCCTGTGATGACAAAAGCTCCCAGAGGAGTTTCCTACTTGGTAATGTCTGCGGACACTCTCACCTCTCACCAGAAGCAGACTGGACACGCAGTGACAAAGCTGCCAGGGTGTTCCCGTGTGACTTAGCCGCGGAAGCCTGCAGGGCTGATGTGGGGCCCATGTGCCTGCAGACACCACCCAACACGTCTCAGAGGCTCCACGAAGCTTCACGTGGCCTGGGCACGGCAATCCTCAGGACGAGTGGAGATGAGTCACACTCTCAAAGAACTGAGGCCAAATTTTACCAGCAAACCCGTGGTAGGCTCTGTCCCTGGCCTTGCTGTGCAGCTCCCAGAAGTAGGCCCTGTGAACTGTTACTGGGGAGACCCCAGACCCCCGTATTTCATAGGAACGACAGACCTGTCTAGCATTCATGACCTTGCTACTGCTTTCATCCCTTAAGACTCCTGTCCCACAGGTTCCAGCAAGGCCTCCAGGTTGTCTGACTGCACTGGGGCTGCAGCACCCATCCCCAGGCCTCCAGGTTGTCTGACTGCACTGGGGCCGCAGCACCCATCCCCAGGCCTCCAGGTTGTCTGACTGCACTGGGGCCGCAGCACCCATCCCCAGGCCTCCAGGTTGTCTGACTGCACTGGGGCCGCAGCACCCATCCCCAGGCCTCCAGGTTGTCTGACTGCACTGGGGCCGCAGCACCCATCCCCACGCCTCCAGGTTGTCTGACTGCACTGGGGCCGCAGCACCCATTCCCACGCCTCCAGGTTGTCTGACTGCACTGGGGCCGCAGCACCCATTCCCAGGCCTCCAGGTTGTCTGACTGCACTGGGGCCGCAGCACCCATTCCCACGCCTCCAGGTTGTCTGACTGCACTGGGGCTACAGCACCCATCCCCAGGCCTCCAGGTTGTCTGACTGCACTGGGGCTGCAGCACCCATCCCCAGGCCTCCAGGTTGTCTAACTGCACTGGGGCTGCAGCACCCATTCCCAGGCCTCCAGGTTGTCTGACTGCACTGGGGCTGCAGCACCCATTCCCACGCCTCCAGCCTCAGTGGGCAGTGCCCTATTCAGTCCTTCTGACCACTTGGTCTTTCCTAAAACTGCATGGATCGAGCCATGGATTCACTACACCTGAGTAAAGGCCACACTCCCCCCACTCCCGAAGAGAAGCTCATCCCCATCTGGGGGCTAAGACAAGGGGACCACCCCCACCTTTCCAAAAGGCTGGACTGACAACTCTTGGGGTTCTGGGCCTCTCTCCCTGCCAAGAATCTCTTCTTTACCTTGGATTACTGAGATAAGTGCTCCTGGCCTCAGGGGGAGGGCCTGTAGTAAGCGGACTTATGAACATACAGCAGAGTTAAAATACCTCTTTAAAAGGCTGAGCTCCTTGGGAAGGGGAAAATACTTCCTGGCTCAGGCTTCCTCTTTCACTCCTCAGTGCTATTCTTGTACCTAATCTCCTCAATCCTTTTCATGCACACAGTCTGCTGTTAACATGAAACAGCCCCAGTTTTTCCTTAAAATCATAATGGGGGCTCACGCTGTGGCGTAGCAGATTTAGCCACCTCCTTCGATGTGGGCATCCCATATGGGTTCCAGTTCCTGTCCTGGCTGCTCCACTTCCAATCCAACTCCCTACTAATGGGCCTGGGAAAGCAGTGGAGGACGGCTGAAGCACCCAGGTGGGAGACCCAGATGAAGCTCCTGGCTCCTGGTTTTGGCCTGGTCCAGCTATGGCTGTTGCGGCCATTTGGGGAGTGAACCAGCAGATGGAAGATCTCTTTCTTTGTAACTCTTTCAAATAAAATAAACAGGGGTCAGCATTGTGGCATAGTGGGTTAAGACTGCATCGCTGGCATCTCATATGGGCACTAGTTCGAGTCCTGACTGCTCTGCTTCTGATCTAGCTCCCTGCTAACGCACTTGGGGAAGCAGTGGAAGATGGCGCGAGTACTTGAACCCTTGTACCCACATGGGAGACCCAGATGAAGCTCCCAGCTTCTGGCTTTATCCTGGCCCAGCCTGGCCACTGCAGCCACTTGGAGAGTGAACCAGCAGATGTCTCTGTCTCTCCTTTTCTCTCTGTAAATTTGCTATTCAAATAAATCTTTTTTTTTTTTTTTAAGAAGACTTGAAAAAAGAATCTTAAAAACAAATCATAATCAGCAGCTTAGTAGCCACAGATGCTGACTCCCATTGGCAAGACGATGTCTTCACCCGGCTTTCCCAAGCCGCAGCCTCGGGGGAACCTTAACAGCCCAGGCCTTGAAAGGCTGATGAACTCTGGGATCCCCGGGCCATCGTCATCAAAAATCTACCTATCCACAGCCTTCCAACAGCACTCCTGGGGAAAAAGTTCTGGGGCCCTCTAAGGATAATTAGAACCACAACCTTCTCACGGCTCTGCAGTAGGTTTCTGGGTCTGTCCTCAAAATACCTCTGTGTCTGTCAGCAACCATAAATGCCTCAATCTTGGGAGCATGTAGAGATTCTAAGCCCCAACTGATTTATAAACATAAGCATACTCATAAATGCCTGGGAGGTTTTTCTAATCATGTGAGTATCAACTTCCCCTTAAAGTCCTAGGCCTCCTGGTACATCCTTCCTGTATGGTCACAACTGCTCCAGCCCCGTTCTAACTGGGCTTTCAAATGTCTAAACTGTACTTGCAAAGACAGGAACAGGCACCTCCAGCTATCTCCAACACTCACTCATTGCTGCACCCCATGGTGATTTAACCCAGCCAACAGCAGCAAGTGCCCTGCATTGTAAACTAAACAGGATTTTCCACAGACGAGGAAGATGACTGGGGAAACCTTATGGCTTGGAGCACTGACTTTAATCAAGTTCAAGCTACTCTGCAGTGGGCTGGTTGGGACAGGCAGCCCTAGAGGAATCTGGAATTCTTATGACACCATTCATACCTGAGCCAGGGTGACTGCTTGGGTCATTAAGGCACAACAGTGTTCCACGGAATTCCTGGCCCGGGTGTTGTCACAGCAGAGTGAGCTGCCCTTGGCTTTCTCCAGCAGAAGAGGAGTCTGTGCCGTAGCCACTAGCTCTGCTGCATGAGTGGACACGTCTGGGTAGCTGAGCAAATCTCCAGGTGTCAGATCAGACAGCCAAGGGGATAAACCAGAGCCTGGACAGAACTCTGCTGAGACCTGGTGGGACTGGATCACATCCTGGGTGCCCCGTTTTCCTTGGGTTTGGCCTTTATTTTCCCATTTTTGATTTTTCTTCCCTGTTTTGTCCCTGTCTTCGTAATTGTCTGGCTTCATTTCTAATTAACTTAGATCTGTCCAAGTCCCAGGCCACATACTTACTCTCTAGAACTTTCACCTCTGCAGGAGTAAGCTCTCCAGTCTCAGAATCCTTTTACTTGCTGGCTAAAACCCCTTAGAGTTCATGATTCCGCAGTGCCCTGATACATCAGGAAGTAGTCCCTTTCCAATTCCAATTTATGATTAAGTTAAAAATAACAAGGGGAGAGAGTAACACCCCTCCATCAACTCCCCTTGCAAAGAAAAGGATCCAACCCAGTTTTTATCTCAAAGTCAACTAGCTGTCCCTGCAGCTGGATGGGAACCCCAGCTGATTGGCTGCAGACACATTCCTGTGACGAACGCCCTTGATAGAAACTGCAGGCCCAGTCCTGTGGAACCAGACGGCTCTGCACCTGAGCGGCAGTCTCGGCCTCAACTTCACCCTTCTGACTAGAGAGCTGAATCCCATTCATTACAGTGCTAGATCTCCACCCCAAGTGAACGTGGAATGCTTGTCACATACATAACTTGGTGGGCAACTGTGCCATCCCTTCCAGAACTCCCCTGAAACTTAGTGTGTGTGTGTGTGTGTGTGTGTGTGTGTGTGTGTCTTCCCGAAAAGAGCCCTCTTCTAACTCCTGGCTGCTCAGGGAGGCCAGCCCGGACACACTCCCTGCTGCTCACAGCTCTGGTCGTCTGCATGTTTCCGCTGGCATGCACGTTAGACACGAGCCCTAGGGTTTTTCTGCCTGATAACAGGGTGATGGGCAAAGTTTCCTCTCTGACTTTTCTGGTTTTTATAAGGAGACTTTCCCTAAAATCTCACCGAGAATGAAGCAAAGGCCCCACTCTGAGTCTGCGACAGAGACCCCTGGAGAGGCAGTGACACTGCTGGAGGTGGCAGGAGCGTGCCCTGTGTATGTGTTGGGGGAGCAAAGGAAGGGGCAGGGAGGGGCAGGGCATGAGCTGAGCAGCGGGCTGGGCAAGGCCTGTACTCTGGTGAGGAAAGCCACAGGGATCCCAGCTGACTTCGGTTTCAAGTCATGGAAACCCCTGGGAAATGCTGGGTCGGAACCAGAGGCGGGGAAGCTGGTTGGTTAAGACAAAGCTGCTTTGGGGAATTCCAAATCTGGGGTGCTGTGGGGCAGCCAGGGAGAAGAACCGAGAGCTCAGACTTGAGAAGAGAGACGAGGCTAGAGATACAACGGTGATGGCAGATGTGGCTGCAGCCACGGGTGCAGAAACGTCAGCAGCAAGCATTCCTCTGAGGGGCGGCAGGACACATTCAGCAACACGGGGCGGGCGGCGGGGTGGGGGGGTCAGCCTGGTAGCACAGTAGGTTGTGCCACCTGGATGCTGGCACCCATATCAGAGCACGGGTTTGCGTCATGGCTGCTCCACTTCAGGTGCAGAAGATGGCCCAAGAGACTGAGCCCCTTCATCTATGTGGGAGACCTGGATGGAGTCTGTGGTTCCTGACTTTGGCCTGGCACAGTCCCAGTCATTATGGCCATCTGGGGGAGTGCACCGGCAGGTGGAAGACCTCTCTCTCTGTCACTCTTTCTTTCACATAAATAAATCAATCTTAAAAACAAAACAAAACAAAACAAAACAAAAACTAGTTGTACAGACTGTTGCAGGACATGAAGTAGAAACTACAAATAAGGACTGAATGCGTGAGAGGCAGACCAAGATGGTGCCTGGGAAAGATGCTACAGGGATCAGCTGCCCAGAGACATCAATTCAAACAGCTATGAATGCACCAAGCCATGTTCACAAGCGTTATAAGGAAGCCAGGTGAGAGACCACAGTGCTGTAGAAGGCAGGAAGAGAGAGTTGCTGGCATCACCCCTGTCCCCAGCTCCAAGCAGAGCAGCCTGGAGACAGGCTGGAGACCCCTTCCTTTCCTTAAGAGGGCTGAGGTGCAGACCTGGGACCTGAAACCCGGGACCATGGCTGCCACTGTAAAATCCTGTGCCAGGGCCCTCAGGCCAGTGCCTGCAGCCTCAGCCTTCGGACTCTCCTTAGACAGTGGCCAGTGGACCACCTCCCTCATCCTCTGCAGGCAGCAGAACAAGACTCTAGGCTCTGGGGAGCAGGAAGGTGAGAAAAGCCTACTTGCCTTGGGGCTCAGTCCTGGGCCTGCCACAAAAAGCCCAGAGGCCCAAACTGCAGGCCACTGCTCACACGGAGCTTCTACGACGGCCCTGGCGTAAAGTGGAACCGATCCACCTCAGTGTAGCAGCACCAGCCTGCATGGGCCTGGTGTGCAACTCTGAGACTGTGCAAGGTAGAGTGGCTGAGACTCAGGGAGCACAGGCATGGCTTAGTGGCAGCCTACCTTCTCCACCTCTCTCTTACGCACATAGCAAGGGACTCCAGGGGCTGGGGAGTGGGACACAAAACTAAACACAGGACTACATCGGCACCAGGCTGGTAAAGCCCAACATGGGGCAGATCCTAATGGCCCCTGTCCTCCGGCTCTGCACTGTTGCCAAGTGGAGACCCCTGAGCCCAGTCAGCCTGTAAGACCAGGTGCAGTCCCATGGTGCCTGGTCACAGCAAGAGGCCTGCAAGGATGGATCACCCCTCTCTAGACAGACGCTGGTTCATTCTGAACAACACTCCAGGGTAGACAGAGAGGATTCTCAAAGCCACAGGGAGGAGAAACAAGTACACAGAGATGTCCTGTGTCCTGACTGCAGACTTCTCAGCAGAAACCTTGCAGGCCAGGACGTGGGATGGGACTTCCTCAGTACTGAAGAAAAAAACCTCCTACCAAGAACAGTTGAAATCTCTTCTGCAGTAGGAAGGAGAAATAAAGACGTTCCTAGATGAACAAAGGTTAGAGGATTTATCACCACCAGGTCTGCTCTGTAAGACATGCTAAAGAGGGTTCTTCAAGCTGAAGAGACACTAGAAAGTAAGAAGCAAATACCGTGAGGTAGAAAATTCACTGTCGAGAGCGCCTAGAAGTCAAGGCAGGCATCCCCAGCTGACTCACCCATGACAGAAATGCTGAGAACGTGTCCTAGAGAAAGGACAGTCTTT